CTGCAGCCGGGAGACAAGGAGGAGGGTGCGGGAGGACACGGGGGTGACTGACTTGGAGGCTGGGAGTCATTCCTGAGACCAGAGACCTGGGGGAGGGCTGATAAGGGGTTCCATCGGCCAGACTGATGGACACGGGGAAGGGCGGTGGGCTTCCTTTGAACACAGAAGCCCTCATTGCCGTGGGCTGTGTGGCCTCCCCTTTCTCCACCCCTGTTCTGGCTACTCTGGATGGGAGGTCCACAGCTGACCCCTCCAGTTCTTCTGGGGCTCTGCGTGCAGGCTGCCGCTCCGGCCTTAGGAAGGGTCCTGCCACACAGCTTCCCAGGGCGCCGAGGAACAAGCAAGCACCATCCAGCTTGTGTTACCAAAAAAGGACATTTTCTCCCTTTGAAGGTTTGCCCGGCTCTTTCCCTCCTCCGCCTGACCTGGGGTTTCAGGTTTCCAGGGAAGTGTTTCTGGAAAGTGTACGAGTTTGAATTGCATGCCTGTGTGTATAGGCAAATATGAACCTGGGGATATGCACGTACCACACTCTGTCTTGATGTCATAAACCTCATCGTCCTCCTTCTCCTTCTCTCCTTCACCGCCACCTCCTCCACTGCCGCCTCCATCACCACCATCGCCTCTGCCATCACCACCACCAACACCACCATCACCTCCTCCACCACCACCATCACCACTTCGACTGTCCCCTCCATCACCACCACCTCCAGCCATCACCACCACCACCACCACCATCACCTCCTCCACCACCACCATCACCACCTCGACTGTCCCCTCCATCACCACCACCTCCATTGCCATCACCACCACCACCACCACCATCACCTCCTCCACCACCACCATCACCTCCTCCACCGCCACGTCCATCACCACCACCACCATCGCCACCACCACCACCACCACCATCACCACCACCACCACCACCATCACCTCCTCCACCACCACCATCACCACCTCCGACTGTCCCCTCCATCACCACCACCACCATTGCCATCACCACACCACCATCATCTTCACCACCACCACCATCACCTCTACCATCACTACCACCATCACTACCATCACCACCATCACGACCACCACCACCATCACCTCCTCCATCACCATCACCTCCTCCACCACCACCATCACCTCCACCACCTCCACCACTACCATCACGACCACTATCATCACCTCCTCCACTACCATCTCCCCTGGCCCAAACACTTCCCTATGCTGCCTCTTAACTCGTCAGTTTTCACCACCTCTCCAAGAGGGGAGAATTACGATCTCCATTGTACAGATGAAGAAACTGGGGCACAGAGAGCTAGGGCCACTTATCCACAGTCCTAGAGGCACCGTGGGGTTGGGACTAGGGTGACGTGACCAAGGCCATGCAAAAGCACAGGGTCTTATCCAGTCTTTATTTAAATTTTATTCATAGTTTGTTCATTAAGGATTTTTTGGCGTTATTTTTGACTTCTAGAAATAGTGCTTTCAAATATTGTTTTATCTTACTAAGTTTTTGCATCTCCTAACTTTTGAACCTGAGGTGAATACGTCTCTTACCTACCCTAGCACCAGCCTTGGCAGAGCCAAAGTTGGAATCCAAAGCTGGGCTCTGGACTCGTCCCTGTGCCGCCCCTTCTGCTTATACCTGGGTGCGGGCACGAGCTCACTTACATATTTTTTTTTTCTTAGAAGTAAACTCTACACCCAGTGTGGGGCTTGAACTCACGACCCCGGGATCAAGAGTCAAATGCTCTATGGCTGGGCCAGCCAGGCGCCCCGCGTTTGTGTCTTCTTTCCTTCAGGAAACATTACTGTGGCAAAGTGGCATCGTAGAGGGGCGGGCCTGGAGATCAGACAGTTCTGGGTCCTTCCTTCACTGCTCATTGTTGAAGGGATAGCCTGTGGCTCAAGGCACAGACTCTAGGCCCAGAAGGCCTTGGTTTGAAATCTCGCTCTGCCACTTGCTGGCTGTGTAAGTTTGCGTTAGTTCCTTAAAGCCGCACGCCCTGCATTTCTCCTCTGTAGAGAGGAATGCTGGTACTAATGTCTGCTACCCAGTGTTATTGCGGGGGGAGCGGGGTGTCAAATGAGTTAATTTCCATAAAGCTCGTGGCATGTGGCATGTTGTAAATGCTTTTGAGTGTTAACTCATTTTCCGTCCTTGAGGAGATACCCCTCTGAGCCTCAGTTTCCCCCTGTGTGAAGGCCGAACAGGAAGAGCCACCGCCCAGACTGTTCTGAGGATTGGAGGGGATAACACAGGCAAAGGGCCTCTCACATGGAAGGAGCTTCATGAAAGCGCTCTCCCTTATTTCAGGCCCAATGTTATATACTGGAGACAGGTACAAAGATACAGGTCAAGTCCACGAGGAACTGACTCATCTGTGGTGTGGACACTATACTGACCTTTTACTTCCCCCAAAGGCACCAAACCCATGCTCTCTTTCCTCCACCTGCCTTGCTGTCCCCGCCTCTCCTATTACGGATCTAACTTCCGTTTGTCTTCATGTCAACTTAACTGTCACATTCTCCAAGAAACCTTCCCTGACCCCACCCTGCCACCAACCTGTATTGTCGTCCTACTCTACGAGATCACTGCCTTCTCGACTCTTCTTCGATGGCACTGCTCACAATTGCAATCGAAGACCTTTTATTTAATGATCTTTTCTTAAAGACGTTCTGTTGTTCATTTGCCTTCTTCCTCCCTCACTTCACAGTGAGGACAGGGACGGGGCTTGTCGTACACACAGGAGTCTCTGTCCTCAGTTCCTGGCAGGTGTGGCACATTTCCAAAGTCATGTTCAAGCTCACAAGCTCTGGAGTCATCTTGCCTGGGTTCGAAATCCCAGCTCCTGCAGTTAAGGACCCTGAGACCCAGGAAAAATTATGTCACCTCTCTGTGCCTCAGTTTTCTTTTCTGCAAATTGTGGAAAATGGTAACAGCATCAGCCTTCCTAAGGCGTGATGATGAGTGCAGGAGATAAACTGCCTAATTCCTGCCCGTAGAACTGTGCCTGGTCCATCCCCATGGGCCTGTTACTGTTTCAGCAGGTGCTGCTGGCTATACTAACAACTGAAACACACGTCCCCCGAATCTCAGGTGCTTAACACCCAGACACGTACAGTTTGCTTAAATGATCCACGTGAAATATTTAAGTGTAACGCCTGGATGTTCCCCATTCCAGCGTGGAACTCTGCACTATACAGTAATCGTTTCTGGACCTAGGTTCCTTCCACGGTGTTTCTTAACGGAGGGCAGGATTCAGAGTCTATGAACTTGGATGCTGTCTTAGATTAGACTCCCTAGAAGCTGAGTCTGAGGAGGGGATTTTTTTTTTTTTTTTAGATTTTGTTTATTTATTTGAGAGAGTGAGTGAGAACGAGCAATAGTGTTGGGGGGGGGCAGAAGCAGAGGGAGAGGGAGACGCAGATTCCACGCTGAGCAGGAAGCCCAGTATAGGATTCCATCCCAGGATCCTGGGACCATGACCCGAGCCAAAGGCAGACACTTAACTGACTGAACCACCCAGGTGCCCTGAGGTAGGGATTCTTGAGCAGATGATTTTTGGGGGGGGGACACTCTCCGGAGAGAAGGGGAGTGACCAAACCAGGGTGTGGTCTTACCTGGCCCCATGGTGGGGGTTCTGGAGCCTGGTTTGTACCACTGAACTGGTTCTTCCCGGGGCAAGAGGGGGGCTGGTGGGTGTCAGTCGTTAGTTGTGGGCTGCATGGTCGGGGTGGGGGAGGGTAGTTTGGCCTCTAGAACAACATGGCTTCTGCAGTTCTCTGGGACCTCCGTGAGCCATTAGCAGCCTGGTCAGGAGCTGGGGGTGGGTGCACGTGCCAGGGAAGGGATCTGGGCAGGGCACTCAGTGTCTATAAGAGATGGAAAAACTATCTTATTTTTACTAACCTCTTACTGAAATGTAGCATTTGCTTCAATTATGGAGGTAGGCAATAAACCACAGTAGTATTCGGGACATCTGTGACTTTGCCACCTGTGGAAATTACATGCTTTCATGTCACATTATTATTGTTGCAGATATCTTTTTTAAGGAAGATTTTATTTTATTTTTTTTAAAGATTTTTATTTTATTTATTTGACAGAGATCAAGTAGGCAGAGAGGCAGGCAGAGAGAGAGGAGGAAGCAGGCTCCCTGCTGAGCAGAGAGCCCGATGCGGGGCTCGATCCCAGGACCCTGGGATCATGACCTGAGCCAAAGGCAGAGGTTTAACCCACTGAGCCACCCAGGTGCCCCAAGATTTTATTTTTTTAAGTAATCTCCACACCCAACATGGGGCTCAAACTCAACGACTCCAAGATCAAGAGCCTCATGTATGCTCTCCCGACTGAGCCAGCTAGGCACCCCTATTGTGGGTATCTTTGAAATATCCTTTCTGCTAATCTGTACTTCAAAATTATTGTGGTTAGTTCACTTGCTAGATATTTTGTTCAATGTGTTCATGAAGAAGAAAATGCATTCTATTACAGATTTGTTCCTCTAATATTTTGGTAATAGCATGTCTAATGACATCCCTTTGTAATCCTATGTATTTTATGCATTTTAAAACATCATTCTGAGAAGGGGCCCATGAGTGTCACCAGATGCCAAAGGTCTGTGACACAGAAGAGGTTAAGGTCCCCATTCAGGGGTGTTGGACTTCCTTCCATTCAAGCAGCAAGGGGGGGGGAGGAGAGGATGTAGAGGATCGCACATGAGGTTTTCATGGTCCAGGACTGGAAACCGCATGCATCGTGTCTTCCCACTGTGCGCCGGCCAGGACTCAGTCACCTGACCGCACTGATTGCAAGGGGAACGTAGTCTGTCTGTGCGCCCAGAAGGAAGAAGGCATGGTCTACGGAGTGCACAGCAGTCTGGCCCACGGGGTTCAGTACATACTCACTGGCAGCCCGAGTGAATGAATGCTGTGTGTGGCGTGTCTTTGGTGGGCAGAGGTCTGATTTTCTGGAGGGATCCTGAGCCTCTACCATGTTGTCTCCTTAGGACAAGCCACGCCAAGGCCAAAGCTGAGGCAGCAGAACAGGCCGCCCTCGCTGCCAACCAGGAGTCCAGCATTGCCCGCACTGTGGCCAGGGAGCTGGCTCCGGACTTCTACCAGCCAGGTAGGACCAGCCAGGGAGGGGATGGGCAGCACAGAGTAAGGGGAGGTCCCGAGGCCGGACCATTTTGTTTTTGTTTTTGTTTTTGTTTTTGTTTGCTTGCTGGAAAGCTGAGATGCCCAAGTGTGTTCACAAATGTCTGTGAGTTCAAGCAACCAGGGAGGGAGGGCAGGTATGGCATGGGATGCGGTGACACAAGGAGACCTGTGCTGAGATTGGGGGGTGGTGCGGAATCAGAGGCTCCTGGTTGTGGACTGGACCTACTCCAGGCTGCCTCCTCTCCCTGCTGCAGACAGGGCTGACAGCTGAGCTGATGAAGCTTAGCGAAGGGAGAGGGCTCCGGATGAGGAGGCAAAAAGCCTTGCAGCTCATCACTTTCAGTCCGCCGGTCTCTGAGTGCTGCCCGTGTGTCAGGCACCGTGCTGGGCTCTGCAGTACAAACCCGGGATTCTGGGATCCAGAATCTAGAGGAGCCAAGAATCATGGCAGAATCGGGGAGTGAGGATCAGGGAGTATATCCCCGTCCTGACTCCACTGCCAACCAGCTCAATGACCTTGTTAAGTCCTTTCACTTCTGTAAACCTCAGTTTTCTGATCTATAAAATGGGAGTAAGAATAATATTTACCTTCCTGGGGGTTGGGTGGGTCAAATCATGTCGGGGAGCACAGAGCCCCGCCTATAGCAAGCTCTTGGGAACTGTTGGTTCTGTCTCACTGTTACGACTACATTCCGCACAGCGTAAGTTCTGTGTGGCTGGAACAGCGGCTTTGGAAGCTCACGGGGGCACTTCATCCAGTCAGGCAGGGAGACCCTAGAGAAGGTCGCCCTCAGGAAAGGCTGTTTGAGCTGAATCTTGAAGGCTGAACGAGAGTTCACCAGGTCAGTGGGTCTCAAACATGACACAGCATGCTGGTCCCACCCCCAAGTTTTTGATTCAGTAGATCTGGGGTCCGTGAATGTGCTTTCCTTTTCCTTTTTAAAAAAATTTTTTTATTTATTATTTATTTGGGAGATGGAGGGCAGAGAGCAGAGGGAGAGAGACAAGCAGACTCTGTACTGAATACAGAGCCTGACTCGGGGCTCAACCCCAGGACCCCAAGATCATACTGAGTTGGGGGATTAACGGATTGAGCCACACAGCCCCCCTGAATGTGCGTTCCTGACAAGGATCAGGCAGTGCGGAAGCTGCTGGTTTGGGACCACTCACTGAGAATCACGGCCCTTCGCAGGGCTGTGTGGGCGGGGCCGACCCGGAGGAAGGGACTGCAGGTGCGAAGGCACAGAGACTTGGAGCAGAGCGGCAGGCTCGGAGTCTGGAGAGTGGAACAGGCAGGAACCGGTGGGGATGGAGACTTGGTTCCTGGGTGGAGTAGTGGGAGCCCGGGGGCTGGGAGGCTGCTGTTCTCCGCATTGGAGGTTTCATGGTGAGTGGCACGATCAGACTTGTATCTAAATGTTATTCTGGCTCTGGCAGGGACACCACAGGGGACCAGTTGCTGGACCGTGGAGCGCAGATGTGTACCTGGGAGGCTAAGTTGCCTCCTGGCAAGGCGCTCCCCCTGCTGGCCCCAGGAAGAGCGACACCTCCCGGCGCTGCCTCCACCCTGGGTGGTAGTAGCAACAGCTGGACCCCGAGCTCCGCATTTTTCATGCATTTTTTCCCACAAACCCTTCCATTAGTATTTATGAAATAGGTACGATTAGGCCATTTTTCAGGTAAGGGAATGGAAGGAAACCAGTGTCGCGGCGAAGATCATAAACTCTGGAGCCAGTCGGACTGGATGCTGGTCCTGGCTCTGAGCTGGGTGACTTTGGGCAAGTGACGTCACGTCACTGAGCCTCCCTTTCGTCCCCTGTGAGCACGAGGCCAGTAATAGCACGGACCTCTTAGGATTGTTAAAAGGCCGCCGCAACGAGCTGCTCTTTGGAACCTGCCTGACATAGTGCGGGGCCCACGCTAGACGGTCGGTGGGAAGGTGCTGGCCGAGTCACTAAAGCAGGCTGTGCGAGGTTGAAGGGCTCGCCCAGGGCAGGCGGTGGGACCCGGGTTCAAGGCCAGCCTCTCTGGTTGTCCCCTCCCCCCCCGCAGGACCCGAGTATCAGAAGCGCCGGCTGCTGCAGGAGATCCTGGAGAACTCGGAGAGCCTGCTCGAGCCCCCGGAGCGGGGCCTAGGGGCCGCGGGGCCCCCGCCGCGCTCCCGCGAGAGCCCGCAGCTGCACGAGCACGAGCCCCTCGGGCCCGAGGGCGGCCCCCAGTCGCCGGCCGGGACGCCCCCGCAGCCCAAGCGGCCCCGCCCGGCGGCGACCAAGGACCGCCTGGCGAGCCCGGGCGCCTGGAACGGGGAGCCGGGCGCCCAGGGCAGCCGGCCGCTCACGCCGTCCGAGGGCGCGGGTCGCCGCAGCCCCGCGCGGCCGCCCACCGGGCACATGGCCATCGAGGCGCTGCAGCCGCCGCCCGCGCCGTCGCAGGAGCCCGAGGTGGCGCTGTACCGGGGCTACCACAGCTACGCCGTGCGCACCGCGCCGCCCGCGCCGCCGCCCTTCGAGGACGAGCCCGAGCCCGAGGCCTCCGGGCCCGACTCCGCGCCGCAGTCGCCGGCCGCCGCCCCGCCGCGGGCCCCCGAGCTCCCGCCCGAGTCCCCGCCCGAGTCCCCGGCCAAGCTGGAGCCCAAGCCCATTGTCCCTAGAGCCGAGCCCAAGGCGAAGGCCCGCAAGACGGAGGCCCGAGGGCTGACCAAGGCGGGGGCCAAGAAGAAGGCTCGGAAGGAGGCGGCGCTGGCAGCCGAGGCCGAAGTGGAGGTGGAGGAGGTGAGGCTGGGGGCAGAAGGGCGTGTCCCAGCTCCGGTCCCCAGGCGTGCTTGGGCTCCACGTGGGATTCCAGTGCGGGGGCATTTGGGGGTGGGAAGGGTCATGACACAGGATGGGACAGGGGAAAACCGCAGCAGGGATGTGGGCTTCGTCAAGTATAGCCTCATCAGGACCTGGTAGCATGAATCCCGGCCAAGTGCCCCCCACCTTGGGGCAGGGGGCGGGCCTTTGTGCCTGCGCTCAGGTCAGCAGGGGACAGTGCTTTGGAGAAGAGGGTGCCCGGGAGCCCTAAGCAGCTAGGGAGGAATGAGCGCCCCTGGGGAACTAGGGCGATCTGAGCGGAGCACCAGCAGCATCTGCGGCAAGGTGTAACAGGGAGGGCTTCCTGGCAGTGGAGGAAGGACGCAGTAGGGCTTATTGGAGGGGGCTGGGAGCTAGAAACGCAGGGACCATGAGTGAGGAAAGGTTGTGTGGACTGATGGATGCCATCCATGGGGGAATTAGCGGAAAGGAAGGATGTTCTGGCTTCCAGGCCCAGCACTGCCCACTGTGCTTTGGGACACATCCTTGTCCCTCTCTGGACCCTAGATGGTTTGGTTACTCATTTCCCAGAATCCCTCCAGTTCTGATGGTCTGCTGTCCAGGTGCTGGACACAGCAGTGAGCAAGACGAGGGGTGTTCTCAGGAGGGTTCTTTCAGAAGTTTCTGCTCCTCTGTCCAGCCTTGTTGGGTCTTGGGTGGGAGATGTTCCGAGGCCACGGGAACTCAGCTTCTCTCCACTGCTCCCAGGTCCCCAACACTGTCCTTATCTGCATGGTGATCCTGCTTAACATCGGTCTGGCCATCCTCTTCGTTCACCTCCTGACCTGACCCTTGTCTACCAGGTGCGTCCCCTCCCCCCCCCCACCCCCAGCAGGAGCCTTTGGAGAGCTCTGGGCACCAGGGTGCTGGGGAAGGGATGTAGCCCCCTGGGCGTCAGTCCTGCAGCTAATTGAGGCCCGGCCCCCAGCAGAGGGAGGGACGACGGATTTGTGGTTTTGGTAGATCATGCCTTCCTGAACACACACACACACACACACACACACACACATACACACACACGGACCTCGTTTGCGCAGCATGTGCAGAGCACCTGCCACCTGTCAGGTGAGCCCTGGGGCTTCCCTCACTCACTCATTCGTCATTTATTCATTCATCTGACCACCATTTACTGAGCAGCTGCTCTGCTGGGATCTAGGGACACAGCAGGGGCCCACTCCTGCCCTAAGAAATGGGGTGAAGATGAGAGTAAACCCGTAACTTACAGCTCATTATGCAGAAGTCAGACATCCAGACGTGAGGCCGAACAGCCTCTCCCCAGACTCCCACGGTCTCACCGGAGCTTGCCGGAGATGGGCAGGCCCTCTTCTCTCTGCCCTCCCTTTTTCTCTTGCCCACTTCAGTCCGTAATCCCCCTGCCCCTCGTCCTCCAGTCCTCTCCCAGCCCTCCCTTCCAGAAACCCTGCTGTCGGTCAGTGGTTGCCCCGTGCTGGAACTGAGAGGGCTTGGTAAGGCCCGGTGAAAAGGAGCTGAGCTGGGCTGGCCTGGGCTGAAGGAAAGTGGCTCTCATGGGTCTCAGGGTGAAGTATCCATGAGAAAGAAAATCTTTTCCCTGCCAGGACCAGCCTTCACACCACAAATCCTGCGCCTGCTGATGCTAACAGAGTTTCTGTCTCTTGCCCTGCCCCCAACCTAAGACCCCACCCCACCCCCTTTCTCAGTCCTACTTTAGTGTGGGCTGGAGGTTCCCACTCAGTCCCAGGAGAGGAGAAGGACTCCCTGTCCAGTCACCCAGTGAATAGCCAGTGACAGTATTAGCCTGGTAGGTGGTGCCCTGGGGCTGAGCGCTGGGCTCTGCTGGGGCCCGTGTTTCACCGGGATCTGGGCCTGTTGGCTGCAAGGACTGACACCTCATGGCCTGAAGGGTGGAAGGGCCAACCAGATGACAGCAGGAGGGGGAGGGCCAGGAGACTGTACCAGGCCGGGGGACAGCAAGGCTGGGAGAGGCCTCAGGGAGCCTCAGGGACTTGACTCTGATTCTGTTAAGTCGGGCTGCCCTGGGGGCTGGGAGAGGTGGGTCCTGGCCCCAGAGTACATCCCGCCTGAGGCTTGAACCCCACCTTGGACCTGGCCCAGCCTCTTCCTTTCTCCCTCCCTCCCTCCGTCCCTCTCTTACCTGAGCCTCTCGCTGTCTCTCTGCAGAGCCAGGAGTTTCTGCTGAGGGTGTGAGGGACCCACCTTTCTGCGCTACCAGGCCGGGTGGCACTGAGGTCCAGCTCGCCTCCACACCACATCTCTTTAAGGAGGCCTCCCCTGGCCCTGGCGCCGGGTGACCGAGGTGCCCAGAGGAACGGAACGTGCTGGGGATCCTCCGGAGCCCTGTGCCCGGCCTCGAAGGAAGAGTCCTGGTCTCTTGAGCACGCCTGTCCCTCATCCTCCCCCGTTCTCTCACCTTGCCGCTGGGGTCCCCCTTCCCTGAGCTTTTGTGTGTTTTGGGAGAGGTCACTAAACCAGGATAGTAATACTAACTCCCAGCCCCTTTCCTTCCACCCCTGCTCCCTTTCTTTTAACCGCCTGGCTGCTGAGGGAGTGACAGACCCCTGGGGCAGGTGAGCCGGGGACCCAGCCCCCGACAGCGCAGAGGCCCTGCCTTGAGTGGGCTCCACGCAGCGCACACTCTGTCCCTTGCTTACAGATGTTCTGGACGACAATGGAGGAAATGGACATGCTCAGTTTGAGTATCCCGGGACACAGTGCTCCTGTCTCCTCCCACCAGTCCAGTCAGTTTCCCTTCTGGACCAAGAGAAGAGGGGGGGGACACGAGGCACTGGAGCCTGGGCCGGAAGCCAGGCTCAGGGGCCGTTGGGATGGCCCCAGTCTTTGAGAGTGCCTGAGCCCGAGGATGCATCTCCTGGGGTTTACAGTGTGCCCAGAGCGCTAAAGGGCCACTCCACAGGAGCCCCGGGGCCGCCAGGAGAACGCTAGCGGGATGGCCTATGAATTGGTTTGTCGGTTTCCCTCACCAGGGCCCTCCGCAGCCTCAAAGGAGAATGAGCATGGAAGCCCTCGGAAGCCCGGGCGGATTTCCCTGGGGCACACTCTCAGGCAGGTGCCGAAGACAGGCTGTTTGGCAACAGTCGTTTCCCAGGGAGAGAAGATCGAGTCTGGGGTCCCCAGTGGGGGTCGTCCATTGAATACTGAGCCCCTTGGCTTGCTTGGAAGAAGATGGTATTTGCATGTAGCTCATTACAGATGTTTTGTACCACACTGGGTCTCTGGTCCCTTGTGCTTGCGGCTGGGTAGAGGTTGAGGGCTCGCGGACCCCTGCACCTGGGAGGACGGAGGGAAGGGGCGTCTGGGCCCCTCCAAACCCAGGGAAGGTGGTGACAGTGGCTTCCAAGCAGAGCCGCGGGGATGCTCTCTCCTGCTTTTTTCTGTGGACCCTGGGGCTTTGGTGTCCAGCCTCCCCACGGCAGCTCCCCAACCTCGAGTCTGTTTCTGATGAGGTTGGCCTCGCCTTTCCCCCTCGGGCACCTTCCTCCAGCTCCGCAGGTGCTGTTTCAACCGCCGCAGCCGGGGCCTCTTGGCGGGGCTGGAATCCTGGACTGCGGTTTCCCCATCCTCAGGCAGCCCGCGGCTCCGCACCCACGTTCGGCCTTCTCTGGACTCCGAGGGAATGACCCGGCCGGCCTGGGGGCACTGCTCAGGGCTGGTGGGCCCCAGGCCTCGGCTCTGAGGACATTGTCCAGGTTTGGGGCCGGCCCGGTACCGGAGATAAGCTTCTGGGGGTACCAGAGCTGCGGGGCCTAGGGTTAGAGCTGGTGCTTGGGGTGAGGCTTTCGGACGCTACGGTCTGTACAGCAATAAACCTGCACCTGCTCGCGGGCTCCGGAGGGGCTGCGGTGTCTGCCTGTGGGCCCGGCCTGAGGGGCTGGCTAAAGAGCGCAGGAGAGGCTGGGGCGCTGTCTTTTTCTTACAGTTCCCGTAATACCTCCTGCGGGGCAGCTGAAAGCCTTCAGGTCACCTGGGGCAGATCAAAGACTTTCTAAGGCAAACTGTGAATTTTTGAAGCAGACTTCCAGAACCTTCCCCGAGCAGCGAGCAGCGTATGGTAGAAGAAAGAGCCCACCCTTTGAGGCTGGGTCTTCCTGACCTCCTGTCCTGCTCAGCCACTTATTCTCTTCGGACTCTCAGTTTCCCCATCTCTAAACAGGGGATGTAACAATACCTCCTCCCTCCTGAGACCATGGTGGGGATTCCACGAAACGCTGCTCCCGGGGTAAAGCTCAGCTGAGGAACAGTGGAGATGTGGAGACTTGGATCATGGCCGCCGAGCACCCCAGTACCTCTTGCTCTTTGGTTGAGGACCCCAGAAGCCCCAAAGGCATGGAGACGACCCAGGTCCCAGCTAGATAGTCACAGAGCATCTCAGGGGGGGAACCTAGAGGCCACCTTCCTTCTCTACAGAGGCCCAGAGAGGAGAGATTGCCAGAGGTCACACAGCAAGTCAGCGGCAGGAAAGCAGTTTGTCCCAACTCATTTGTGAGGAAGCACTTCCCGTGAAGATCCTCCCATAGCCGCTGCCCCATGGGACAGGGTCGCTCGCTCCTCCACCTCGCCCCTCCCCTGGCAGCTCCCAGAGTGAGTGGGGGACCAGGACTCCCCTTCTCTCCCTGGTGCTACCACGGGCTCGCTGTGTACCAGTCATTCTCCCCTGTGCCTCAGTTTCCTGTTCTGCCAAGGAGAACAGAATCCCTGCCCGTGGCTTTCTGCACAGGCAGTGCCACGAGAACCAGATGAGGGGGATTGTGGGTGGTAAAGGGGTATTCGAAACCCTGGAATGATCCAGAAATCCCAGGAAGAAGGACGGGCTCGGAGGGACCACTGGAGGCATGGTGAGGGTAGGAAAGAGGACATGGAGGGAGCTGCTTATCTGCAGGGATTCTAACAAAACCCACTGAGGGAAGGACGGTCTGTAGACGTGTGTGTGTGTGTGTGTGTGTGTGTGTGTGCGCGTGTGTATGTGTGTGTGTGTAGGAAATGGGAGTAAAGGGTGAGGGCAGAGGATGACTGCATTAGAATCACCTTGGACGGTTTGAAAAGAAGGCTTATTTGGAGGATAGGAAGGGGAAATTAAAAAAAGAAAAGAAATGTCATCGAGCCCTGTAGGAGTCAGGGAGGGTTGGTCAGAGTTGGGCGCCCCCTGGTGGCTCAGGCGCGCACACGGACTGTCCCGGTCTCTGCCAGTGGCCACTCTAGGAAGTTTGGCCCCTGCTCTGCCATGTCCAGGCTTCATTTAAGGTGTCTTGTGCCATAGGGGAACTTGAAACCACCCCGTGGGCATTGCCAGGGCCTATGACCACTGACCACTACCTTGGGGTCTTGGCAGGAAGCTTCCAGGGCAGTGGGAAAGGTACTCAGGGACCTCTCTGTTGGGGTATCTGGGAAGAAGGAACTTCAGTTTGCTGGGAAAAGAGCTCAGGATCCTTTAAGGAGGCATGTGAGCAGGGGGAGGAGGAACGGGGCTGCTGTGGGACTTGCTGCTCCAGAGAGAAATGGGAGGGGGCCCTGCACTCTGTACCCCAGCCTAGCCTCGGGTCCTCCAGCCTCTGGGGACAGCTCAGCAGCTGGAGGGCAAGGCTCCCTACCCAGGAAGACTCCCTCAGTGGGCTCCTCATCCCCTTCTGGTCCCTGAAAAGGAAGGAAGTCACCTCTCCTGGAAGAAAAACAAGTGGGGTAAAGGGTGTATGTGGAGTGGGGGTCCAGCTGGAGATAACGACAGTACAAAGTGTCCCCCACCCGCGGTACCCTCCGGGCCCCTCCTGTCTGGG